GAATCTGAAAGAAATTCTAGCATGTCTTGATGAATATATAGAGTACTCATTTAACTACGTGATGGTAAAAACCGCAGCTCTCTAGCTCTTTCCATTCTTGAGTTATTCCAAAAATACCCACGACCACTATTCTTTTGAACAAGCATTAGTTAGTCAAACACGCTCATCGTAAATATTTTTTTATGAGATGTTTTCTCTTTTCATTTGTCATGTCATTTGGTAGATGTATTAAAGAAGAAAATGTTCAAACAGCAATCATTGATTTCAATGATTGGGCAAGTCAAGATATAAGTTTATATGAGGATGTAGAATTCGTTGAAATTCAATGAACTGTTGGACCTACACTTATCAATGATAATATTAGTAAAGAAATTATTATTCATTATGATACTGATATTCAAAGTCAATTAAAATATTATACGAATGCAAATGGACGTGAAGTTCTTGAAAGACAAAGAGATTATCGACCAACATGGAATTATACAATTGTTGAAATATGAAATGGAAATGATTATTCAATTAATAGTTGAATATGGATTAAAGAACAAAATCATCAATTAAATGTTCTTACTTATAAGAATCAATGACCTTGTCCTATAATATTAAGTTAGAATATATCATCAAAATCAAAAACTCGCATACTCAATTGTTTGATTTCAGTAATAATGATACATTACGGCTATTTAGATCTAGAAAAGCATATTAGAAATTCATTTATATTCTTTCTAAGAATATAAAACTTGAATACGTTTAAGTTTTCTAACTTTGGAAAACCAATCTGAATGTAGAAACGTTAAAGCTCTTAGGCACTTTGTTCATTATATGAACTAACAAGCAGTTATATTTTATAATTTTTAACATCTTCTATTAAATTGTGTTCAACTTCGATAAAAAGAATTTCTTTGTTATGTTTTGTGTAATCTTTAATCACTCTTTCTTGTCTTTGACTGCGCAACCTATCTTGAAAAAAAATTGAATCAAGTAGAAATAGATAATATCACTTCTGTATTAGTTAGGTTATGTATTGATTTCAACGCAATTTTTTTTTATATAAACGTGTATGATCAGTCAAGTGAAAAATAATCATTATGATTCATTTCTTTTATGCAAAATGTTGCAATTCTGGATAGTTGTTAAAATCTTTTGCAAGATGACGATCATCTCATTCATTAAATCTATGAATATTTTGTTGTTTCTAATTCACAAACTATTGTTCAGAATGTATAGTAATAGTATTCATAATAGTTCAGTTAAAATCACAGTTCATCGTTATTTACTCCAATTTGAGACACGTGATGTCCGTGAATTTTTGAATGAAATTGTATATGGTGAAAGTCTTGTCGTTCATGGTCGACATTTTCTTATTGTTGAACGAGTTGCTTCGAATTCTTGATATCTTCGTGTTGCTTCTCAATGTTTATATATGTAATCAATTGGTAACTCTTAATTAACTCAACAAACTCTAATAATTATTCAGCTGCTTATGGTTGAACATGGTCAGTCTTAACAGATTCATTACTATTAAATGTGCATTAATTCACATTAGATCAATTAAGATTAAGCAAGTATTTTATTCGTATTGAATATTATTTTGACTTATTAGAAGATGATACATATTCAAAGCCAGTTACATTTGATTTACAATCATTATTTGAATCTATAAAAGCAAGTAACAGTACAATTGAATTAAAGCTTAGTGCTAATTTACTATTAACTGATATGCAACGACTTAATTAGATAACTGGAGATGAAAAATTATTTCCAATGAAAATGCCTAGTAAATTTTTTACACAGTAAATCTTTTCTTATGAACATATTTTATTCTCTTGTTTTTTGTAAGAAAGAAAGATCATTAAAAGATACAAATATGATTTTGAATTCAATCAAAAGTGGAACATTTCATGTAATGTTAGTACAAATAATGATCAATGTAACATTTGATTATTTTTTATTTACACGATTTTCATTTTTAATATATACATTTTTATTAAATATCAAAGAAAACATAAATAAATATATATATGTGTTTGATTTGTCTGGATAGGACGAAACAAGAAAAGAAAACAACAATCAGAACAAAAAAAAAAGAAAACTTTTAATTATACCTTTTTATTGTTAATGATGATCAATTTGTCGAATAAAAAGAATAAGACCAAGAGTCAAATAAATAAATAGAGCAATCACATATGTTGCCAATGACCAAGATAATGAACGACGTGAATGTATTAATGCTTGTTCATAATATCCATCACGTTCACAATGTAAAGATTTAACACCATAATAAACTGCAACAATACCTGCATAAAGTAATTTTTTTTAAATATAGTTTTAAAAAAGATAGAATTCATATAAAAACTCTTTGTCATTAATCCTCGCTTACCGGTGACAAAAAATAATAAAGATGAAATAATTGCACAAACCAAGTGCCTTTTGGGATGAGCCTTTCTAGAAGTATATGATTGAAATGGACTGTGTAATGATGCATCTATATATATATATATAATTATTAAAATAAGATTTATTGAAATAACTAATCATTTTATAAAACATGTCATACCCAATGTCGTACCACCACGTTCACCAACTAAGGATGGAGCTGATGATGACCATCGACATGGTGATAATTTTTGATGAGAATGAAGGGCTGAAAAAGCTCTTGATGAAAACATAATTAATGTTCACAATAATGTTAAACAAGTGTTTTGTTTTTCTTATTTATTACAATGATAATCTCATTCCTAAAAATACATCTTAGATTATTATAAACAATACAAATCCTAATATTTTCAAAGATGTCAAGAAAGATAATTCATAACTGGAAAAAAAGCATTAAAATTATGAAAAAAGAAGTTTGAACAGGTTTTCTTTCCTATCAATAAGCACTTATGTTAATTAGTTGTATTCTGTTTACAGAAGAAAACTACATTTTACTACAATCATATTGTACTTATCGTGTATATTAAGTGATGACTTCTGAAGTATGCCAAACTATTCTATCTTTCACCACCACCACCATCATCATCATCATCTTCTTTTTCTTCAAAAAAAAGAACTCATCGGGTACATCCTTCTTCTAAATAATACTTATTAATTATAAATTGACATAATAAAACTTCTGTCAATTTCGTCAAGACATCATTATAATATTTAATCAATAT